CCTTCGTACATGGTGATCTCCTTGAAGAAGTATATATGGACCAATCACCAAGGTTTGTTGCTCAGGGGGAGGATGATAAGGTTTGCAGACTTAAAAAGGCGATCTATGGGCATGAACAATCTCCATGCGCGTGGTTTGGAAAATTTAGTGAAGTGTAAGGGACTTTGGCATGAAACACTACCAAATTGACCATTCTGTGTTCATCTATGAATCAAAGACTGGAAAGATTTTGTTAGTGGTGTATATAGATGGCATTGTCATCATAGAAGTTGCAAGATCAAGACATGGTATTAATTTGTGTCAAAGAAAGTATGTCCTCGATTTGCTTGAAGAGACAGGGTTACTATGTGCTAAACCAGTTGAAACACCTATGGAACCAAATGTCAAGTTGAGTACTAATGCAAGTGAAGAGTTTGAAGATCCTAGAAGGTACAGAAGGTTGGTGGGTAAGTTAAATTACCTGACTATTACTCGGCGAAACATATCATTTGCAGTGAGTGTGGTGAGTCAATTTATGCAGCATCCTCGGGTTCTACATTGGGATACAATTCTGAGGATTGTTAAATACTTGAAGGGAGCTCCAGGCCGTTAATTGTTATACAAGAGTGGAGGAAATCTTGAGATAGTGGGGTACACAAATGCTGATTGGGCCCAGTCTGTTTCTAACAAAAGATCCACTACGAGGTATTGTACCTTCCTTGGGGGAAATTTAGTGACTTGGAAGAGCAAAAAACAAAATGTAGTAGCAAGAAACAGTGTTGAAGCTGAATACAGGGCCATGGCACATACTACATGTGAACTAGTGTGGCTGAAAAATCTTTTGCAGGAAACGGGGTTCTCAGTTGACCAGCCTATGAAGTTGTATTGTAATAACCAAGCCGCAATCCATGTCTCTTCTAATCCAATCTTTCATGAGAGAACAAAGCATATTGAAGTTGATTGCCACTTTGTAAGAGAAAAGTTTATCAATGGAGTGATAAGTGCAACACATGTAAGTTCAGGAAATCAATGGGCAGATCTGTTTACTAAAGGGTTGAGTCGTGGGAAAGTGGATTACATATGTAACAAGCTAGGATTATATGATATAAACTCACCAACTTGACAAGGAGTGTTAGAGTCAGCAGAATATGGAATAGTTTGGTCATTTTGTCATATAATTAGAAGTGAGTTGTCTATTTTATCTGTGTTTAAGTTGTGTCTCCCATACTTAATGAGGGACATAGTTGTCTTTTGAATCCTAATGCATAAGCTATAAATACAAGGTGGGTCAACTGAGAGTAGATGATTTTTCTCTCCGGCCGAACCCTTTCTTTCTCTTCTTCTTCTCTCTTTCTTTCTTATTTTTTAATTAATATTATTTTTAATATTTTCTTTATTTATTTCAAATATTTTACATTTTTGCAATTTTTTATTGTCATTAATTTTCCACATTGCTTCAAAAAGGTGCATGCCACACCTTGCACATTGCTTCAAAATGCCCTTTGCACCCTGTGCTTTTAAAACACTAGGCAAACTAATTTTTTTATAAAGACAAACTAAAGTATTTAACAAAATAATGAAAACAAAGAAAATGTTTAGTGAATGGAGAAAGAGTATTATGGTGCCTATATTCAAAAACAAAGGAGAAATACAAAGTTATAATAATTATCATGGAATTTAACTCGTAAGACACAATAAGAAACTTTGAGAAAGAATAATTGAGCAAAGGTTACAATAAGAAACAAATATTTTAAAAAACCAATTTGATTTATGTTGGGGAGATCAACCATGAAAACCATCATTTTGTTACGATGATAGAAAAGCTTAGAGAAAAGAAAGATCTTCATATGGTTTTTATTGATCTAGAGAAAGCATATGATAGAGTCTCTAAAAAGGTAATACGGTGGGTTTTGAAAAAGGAATTCTAAATAGGTATGTGAGTCTAATTAAGGATATGTATGAGGGTGCAAAAAACAATGTTAGAACACTCGTGGGAGAAGCATCAGATTTTACAATTACAATGTGTCTTCACCAAGGTTCAAAACTTGGTCCTTATTTATTAATATTAGTCATAGACGAATCGACTAAACAAATTCAAAAGAAGGTCCCATGGTGACTATTGCTTGCTGATGACATAGTATTAATTAGTGAAACTAGCAAAGGTTTAAATGCAAAATTAGGTTTATGGACAACTGGATTAGAAACAAGAGGTTTTAAAATAAGTAGGACCAAAACAGAATAAATGCAATGTAAATTTAATAACAACAAGAGTGCAAACTAGGGTAGACTTAGGATTGGAGATCAAGAGATAACTCAATGTGACTTCTTTCGTTACCTTGATTCAACAATTCATAACAAATGAGAGATTAAGAAGGATGTTGCCCATAGATTTAGAATCATGGTTTCAAATGTCGCTAATGTCGCCCAACATATGTCAATGTCAAGGCTCACCGACATGAAAATGGATGGTAATATAAAAATTACATTATGTCAGTCGACATTTCCTATATTTCGGAAATGTCGACCAAATCGGTCCAAATAACCAAAAAAATACAGTTTTTCCTATTATGTCGACAAGATGTCAACTAAGGTCGACAGGATGCCGACTAATGTACATTAAAAATATAATATATTAGTATATTATATTAATATAATACAGTATATTAATATAGATTATTCCATTAATAATTTCCATTTAATATTTCAAAAAAAATTATAAAAAGATTAACAAAATATAAAAACAAAAAAATAAATTAATTACTTTATAATATAAAACATAAAATATTTTTCAAGTAATAAAATATTAACTAGTTAGTATTTTTTAAAATATTTATTAAAATCAGAAAATGYTTATTAAATTTTRTMATAAACCATATTCTACATTTAATATAAAAAATCAGAATAAATTTTATACTAAATCATAATTTATTATAAATTTAGTATTAAAAATCATAATAAATTCATTAAGTTTTATAAGAAATCAGAATTTATCATAATCTTAATTCTACAAAAAAGGAGAATCGGTTTATTAAATTTGTAATTAAACATAATGCATTATAACTTCAATGTTTAAAAAATCAGAATAAATGTATTTCTATTTACTAGTGTGAAATAAATATATTAGAATTTATAATAAATCAGAATTAAAAATAAGAAAATAAAATATCAGATAACCTTGTAAAAACATCAAAATGCAAAATAAATCAGTAAATCGCCATTTACTAATTTGTTATTGATCTTAGTTTCTTAGCTTTATATAATGGTTGGGAWTAAGATADTAGTCTAGAAATATGTATTAATGCTTCTTTTATCATTTTACAAAATATCTTTGCATATTTCTACAAAATGATTGTAAGGCTTAGGCCAGCTATGATAAATGGAGCAGAATGTTGGGTAGTTAAGAGCACATCCAAAAAATGACTGTGGCAGAAATGCAAATGCTCAAATGGATGAGTGGTAAAACTAGAAAGACATGAGGAAAAGAAATGAAGTCATACAAAGGAACCTAAGAATAGCTCCAATAGGTGATAAAATGAGAGAAAGTAGATTGAGATGGTTTTTGATTTTATTCACATGCATAGAAGACTATCTACAGAACCTGTTAGAAAAAGTAATATGTTGCAAGTTTAAGAGGCTAGAAGGGCTAGGGGCAGACCAAAATCGACTTGGGCAGAAGTAATAAGAAATGATTTAATATCAAAATAAGCTTAAACAGTGGATATTACAGGCAGTGTTTTGAGAACCAACCAACAGACGGAACAGCTTCTCCATCTAGGTGGGTCAGCAGTTCACCCATCCAGGTCAAATAGGTCATCCACTGATGTCATAAATTGAATAACAAAAATCTAAAAATAAATAAATATACAGAAAATCTAGAAAATTACAAAAAAAATTGCAAAATAAAGGCATGTCTCTAATATTATATATTCATCATATAATATATATAAAAAATAAGTATGATAAATGAGAATTATTGTTATTAGTGATGCAAATGGCTAAAAATACCAAAAAACAGGAAAAACAAAGACTTATAACCCACTAACAGCATAAAACAGTTCAGCAGTTCAACCAGCTGAGTCATTAGATTATTGACCAAGTTAATGGCTTTTTGCAGGTGAACAGGGATGAAACAGACCAGGAAATATGGCCAATTGATGGTTCAACCAATCCTACCCACCATTTTGACCACAGTTCAAAAACATTGATTACAGATTATAACATATAGAAATACTTATATTTGAGGCAGGTTTTACCATGTACATATTTCAAAGAACCAAGCAGCCTAAAACAATTTTGGCTGCAAGTTCCCATATCTCTCTGATGGTCAAACCATCCAGTCTGGTCTGGTCTGAGTGACGACACTGTTTTTTGTTGAACATTTGACATTTCATTGTTCATCCACTTTTAAATTTGATTCAGAGAAGCAGCTAAGGGAATTCAGATTGTTCTTTGCTAAGACCCCAATTTTCACCTTTTCTAGGATCTAAATGGCATATTTCAACCACTTGTCATTCAAAGTGCACCTATTTGGCAACTCCATGCCCAATTTCTTCCCAATAAGCATTTGTTCACTTTATTGTCCCTTAGCTGATTATAACCCAAAGATAAGACTCATAGCTCTATGTCAAATCTTAAACCCTATAGTTTGTAGAAAGAACCTTAAACCAACTCGAATATCTTCCACTGATTGAATGATGGAATACTTTTCTGTTAAACGCTAAATCTTACTCTTTTAGGAACATATAAGACATTTCTACCCTTTTTTTTTATGTAAGCATGTCTGATACTGGCAACACAAAACAATTTTCAAAATAACTTTTATAAGTTATAACAGCTATAGCATGCCAAAAACAGGGACCTGTGCTGCTTAGACCTTTGAATTTATAGGTAATTCAAAAAGGTGCATGAGAAATGGTTTGATTCTAATGCAGAACCAAAAATATAATGCCACTGGAATATTGTCTAGACTAAGATAATTTAGGAGTTCAGGAATGCTGAATACAGATGCTTTGAGAACTGACCGCCAGAATTGAAGCAGCACGCGACTCTGCAGAATATGCATCAATGAACTCAAGCCTTTTGTATATCTCTTCAAGCCTCTGTGACACGTTATCTTTGTTGGTTCCCCCATTAATGTTCTTGTTACTCTTTCCTGTTGCACCTTCGAACTCCATCTCTCTCTTCAGGACAAGTAAGATAACTTTAGTAGGTTTGGTAAATCATGAAAAAAGAGAGCATTTCCACAAAAAGGAACATGAAAAGTAAACAAATCCAAACACTAGAAACAACTATATCTAGTTCAGTTTCAAACAAACGCTATTTGAACCTGCAGTGCAAGTAGACGGGCTTCTTCTTCCAGTAATTGGGTTCTTTCAACATCAGAGTTAAGAACACATTGCAAGGCTGATGTATCATCACCTACAACTTCTTGTTCCACATGTAATATTTGACAGTTCTTAGGTATACCATCAATTGCATGCAAGGCCATATGTCTAAGAAAAGTAGTTTTCCCTGTCCCATTTCTGCCAACAAGACCTGTACAAATATCAGGGTATAAAAATTCAGTAGAAATCCGGTGCCATATGGAGAACCAGTGAATAGTCACACCTATGCATGAGTTTCAAACAATCTAGATTGAAATATAATATGAAGCTAGGATATTATTTCTTTGACCAACAAGAACAAAGAGCATAGAACAGAAACCATGCAGGGAATGTATTTATACAACACAACTATGAAGTATAAACCCACCATAGTGCCTTCCAAAAGAAAGGGTGACTGAGCCATCTATAATGAGATCACGGCCACCAACAGAGACATTGAAGTTCTCCATATGGATATCCTTGACAGCAGGACCACCTGCCCCGCTATCATGATTTACACATACCACAGGCATTCCTGCTTTAACTGCTTCCATCTCTGCTAAATGCATTTGGTACTGTGCCTGTTTGGTTGCCCAATAAACAAAAAACGAAAAAAAAAAAAAAAGTCAATGATGAATTCATCAGCTTATAAGTCAACTCATACTTCATGAGAAACTCTAGCACATGGACAAATTTGGACTCAATATGATAGTGAAGTATGAAGACATGCTTAGGGTAAACCTAGCACATCCATTAACTCTTCTCATACATCAATTCAAACTAACAAAGAAGAAGCAAAACCAAAGCATATGGACTTGGTACTGCAAGTGGGACTAAACCAACTCTTACCATTCTTTTTAGTGAAATGATCTTTTGGACATGAAAGGGAAGATATATAAAGAAACACACATTTTATAGTTTTATGTAGACATACCTCTCTCTGGCGCTCTTCTTTCCTCTTTCGTCTTTCAAGCTTTAACCTGTCTCGTTCAGATAACACAGGACCATCCAATTCTTGAGGCTTTTTCTTTGGAGCTTCCTCTTCGTCCATTCCATCAAACATCCGTAAGGGTGTTGCAAGGCTTCGTACAGCCTGTTTCTGTTTAACCAACCCATGATTTCCAAATTTTTCAGAGAGTCTTCTACAAACCTACATGTTTAACAAGTGATTGAACATCAGATCAGCCACCTCAGTATAGAGACCAAATCTTTTCCTATGAAAGTATTCTCCTGAGCACAATAAAGCATGCAAATTGTCACTTGTTAGAGCAATTGCATTATCACTTCCACTAAATTTTGGACATAGATGGCCACCCATGCTAAGTTTTTTGTGAAAGAAGTAGTTGAAAAGAATCAATTACAGATAAGGCTAGTGTTATAGAAGGCATCTGGAGCTTATCCGTTGATGGCTTGATGCACGCTTTGAGGTTAGCGAGTAACTAGGAAAATTGGCTTGAGGACCAATATTGAGGATCATGCCTCAGAAGCATAAGGAACGTGCCAGACTCCTTGATATTCATTGTGCTGAGGATGTGTTTCTCGTACATTAATCAAAATAGGATTCTTAACTGACTGAAGCATCAATCTTTTATACTTCTGACTTTGTACATTTACTTCCATTCGTTATGTCCGGCATATTTATGTTTGTTATAACTTATAACCCTTTTAAAATTTGAGCTTATATTAACATTCAAGAGTCTTTAATAAGTATTGAAGGGTTTTTGCACAGATGCATCATAATTTTTCACTGTTTCTCTGTGACTGTTTGCTGGAACTGAGACCCAGAGTTTGACCTTTTCAAATAAATTGAAGATTAGAAAATCGTTTTTCCTAAGAGTATAAATAAAGAAAGGCATAAGAAACAAGTTACAAGCAAATACACAAGCCAAAAGTGCACATAGTCGAAAATAATTACGAATAGCTGAAAATATTCGAAAGGGTATGAACGCCCAACGATATGTGCGACAAATTAAAGAAAGCATAATCTACGTAAGATCCTACAATGGACAAATTATAACTGCTTCATGAATTTTCAACAATCGGAAGACTACAAAATAAACTGAACAAAAGAAATGTACTCACAGATCGACATTCGGAGTAATCGGTAACGCATCCGGAATCAATAAGCAACTCCCCAAGGGCCTCGAAGGCGCCTTCTCCTTCGGCGCCCCAGTCGAAATCTTCGTCAGCAAGGACGTTAATGATGTAATCTATGATAGGCTTGTCCACATCTTGAGCTCTTTGGCCCAAAACGTCGTAAACAACAGAGCTCGCCACTTCGACCATCTTCGCCACCAAGTTTTGGAGTTCAGGAGTGGCAGCCGGGTGAAGACGGCCCTTTAGGCTTCGTCGATGGGAATGGGAGTTAAAAGAGGTTTCTTACAGTCTATCAAAGCTGGAACTCGGGTTCTGAATTGCGTGCTCTGTTTGTTTGCAATTTGCAATGCAATTACATTTGCACTAGTACAAAATTGAAGTGCAAATGAGAAAAACGCAAATACTATTCCATTCTTACTTGGTTCCGTTTGATAATAGTACAAACTACAAATACAAAAATGATCGATACAAATGCAAATATGTACGGTTCATGAAAATGCAAAGTTTGTTTTGTTTTGTAAAGATAATTTTGTAATCCTGTCGAATGAATTTTATGCCAAGTTTAAGAGTGATTATTCATATAAGCACATATTTTAGGCGAGGACCACACCGTCTACACCAATAAATACTTATTTGGCATTTGGGAAATAAGCCCGAAATAAGTATTTATTTAATAAGCCCAAAATTTCAGCTTATTTTTAAGTGTTTGTTTTCCTTTATAGTGTATCTTGGCCTGCTATATCATTTTGAAAATATTTATATTACCCCTATTTTTCAAATATGTATTCCCAAACACGGCATTAGTTGTGACATGAATCCCATGAATGAAATATATCTTTTTGAATACAAATTTTGCTCACATTTTGAATGCACAATATGTCTTCAATGTTAAAATTGAGTTTATTGTCATTTTCAGGATAAATGTAGTCTTACCAAACACTAGTAAAATTGAGCCAAAATGCAAATATGCACTGAACTGGAATTTACAGTCTTCCCAATTGGAACCTTTAGATTTAATTTCAGGTTTTATTATTTCATCTTCGATAAAAACAAATAAAACAAGGCAAAATATGAAACGAGAAAAAAAAATGGAACCTGCACTGACATCATTTACACTCCCATGCCTTTGCATTAGTGAATGAAATTATACTGCAATCAAGTGAGGCCATGTAGATTACCCACCACATGGAAAACATCATTTTGCTTTTATCTCAATTTTAAATTTGTATTCCATTCTCACTATTAGTAAAAATTGAGAAGGTATCTTATTTTTCACACTTATTTTTTGTTTAATATGATGAACACATAATACTAAAGATGTGTTCAAAATTTCTATAATTATGTACTTGTCATATTTATTTGTGTCTTTATCTTTTTAAATGTTTTTTATTTAATTATGACATCATGGGATAGTTCATTTGGTCAAAAAGATTGGACTATTGATATGCTACATAAATAGGAAAATGGTTTCATTTTTTTATATAGTTTTAAATCTTGGCTTCATTTACCTCATTAAAAAAAATAATTATTGTTTTATCACACTTGTATTTGTTTAATATGATTAATATATAATCCCATAGATGTGTCTATGTCATTCCTATTTCTTATATTTTTTTCAATAATTCTTTGTATGTTTTTAGTTTTATAATTGCTTATTTGACTATAACATCATAGGTTTTGAACTAAATGAAACATTGACCCACCACTCAAATGGGAAATGATTCATTTTTTGAGTTTTTGTATTTGATTTCCATCTTTAGTAAAACTACTCCTCTTTTGTGATACTTATGATGAATATATAATATTAGATATGTGTCCATAAATTTATATAAAATTTCATCACTTTTCATGTTTTTATTTATTTAAAAATTTTATTATTTAATTAAGGCATCATGAATTACCTCTATTTGACCCAAAAGATTGAACTACTTACCCACCACATGGTAAAAATGGTTTCATTTTCATGTTAATTTTAAAAACAAGTTTTTATACTTTTAAAATTATTGTTCACTGTTTTAATCAATCAAATATAATATTGAGAAACAAAGATACCTTAAATATAGGATTTGCTTAGAAAAATGAGAATTAATACCTAATACTTTAAATATGAAACTTAATGAGAGGGAAGAAAATGAATAGAATGATAGTATTCAAATTACAATTTTTGCCATCKTAATAGAGAGGGTCCAATTTTGGGTAGAGGGATATTTTAGTCGATAAAAAGTTCATTAGCCATGAGGAGCTATTCTCGCTTTCTATAGTAGTATAGATTTTCTATAGGGGTGCAACTTGGGCAGGCCCAACTCGAGCCTAATCTGATCCAGACTGCAATTTTACATGAGTTTGGCTTGGATTTTCAATCAATGGGTTGAGGTGGGCCCAAAAGTTAAGGCTTTTTTTATTTTTTAGATTGAGCTCGGGCCTACCCCTTAGGTAGTCTGAACTCGGCTCGATTTCATCCCAACTCAAGCCTGCCCCCGATATATACATGTATATATGCATATACACATATTTGCATGCATACATGCATATATGCATAACTTTTTTTTATAAACCATATTTAATGCATATATGCATACATACACACAAAAATATATGTCATATAACTTGAGTGCATCAAATTTAAGTGGGTTAGGTTCAGGTTGGATAGTTAGGGCTTGACCTCGACCTCAAGCTTTAGGCCTAATTCTTAGGGCTGAGCCTGGTTAAGCTAAAACCCGATCCAACCTTGCACCCTTCTCTCTCTCTCTCTTCCCCCCCTATCTCTTTTCTCCCTCCTCTCCCATGTTTCTTTCCTACCTTTTCTCTCCTATCTCCCATTGTTTCATGTTTCTATCTTCATTCTCTTTCCTACATTTGTTTCTCCTATTGGTTTATGTGTCTTATCCCTCCTTTATTTCATCTATCTATCCATTTGATAAAATCCATCATTTTGTTTGGATCAAACCAATTAGACCATGACATGTAACACTATAAGAGAAATCGGAAGTTTTTTCCTCTAAGAGATCAACATGGATGGGTTAAATTGGGTTGCAACCCATTTACGTACTAAAAAAAAAACATTTAGGCATTAGAGATGTTAGTTGTTGATGAATGGGTTGGCCTTCACTTATATCCTACCCAACCCAGCCCATCCATTTGTCACTTCAAGGAGAGACGTGTAACCAAGTCACTTACTAGGTCATCAGTAGGGGTTTGGGTGGACACAAATCAAGCTTTTCATGAATTGGCTTGTGGAAATCTCAATTCGACTTTATCTAAACTGAGCTTTGATCTGAACCCAAGCCTAATATATAGGTTCATTTGATAATTGAACTGAGCTTGAGCCTGATAAAGTGTACACATGCTTGCATGCGGCAAATTATATTTTATTTTTTGGTTTATTATTATTATTATTATCATCATCATCATCATCATCATCATCATCATTATTATTATTATTATTATTATTATTATGTAGATTGCAAAATTCAAATCTGATTACATAAACACCTCATCCAAATACGTAATAATCAGATCGAGTTGTTAAGTTCCAAATATCATTGACAGGCCTATCTACTTGGTTAGACTATTCTTTTTGTAGTGTTTTGTCATTTTGGTGTATCATTTTTCTTTTGATCATTTATCAAAAAATGTGTAAGGTTTAAATAGAGGAAATTGAATGAGGTGCAAAGTAGTAGTTCAAATTACAATTTAAACCTTACAATTAAATAGGGACTAAATTCAAAAATGAGTATTTTAGTCATTATTTTAAAAACCGAACAAGAAGCGCTATTTTAGCCCTGAACCATTTGGCTCGTTTGGCCTGGGAACCTTAAGGTCAACAGTTGGCTCGTTTGGCCCTGAACCCTTCTTTATCTAAGTGGTGAGTATTCAAAAATGAGTATTTTGAACCGTTTGGCCCAAGAACCAGTTAGGTCACTGGTTATGTTTTGGCCCTGAACCGCTATTTTTTCAAAAAGCCATTGAAGTGGCTAGAGAACAACAGACCCGAACGGTATAATCGTTAAAATGTTTGACCCGATTAATGGTTCTTGGGTTGCTTTCAAACAAAAAAAATGAAACTCCAATGAAGGTTTTTAGTTTTTCCATTTTGATTTTGAGTATTCTCATTTTTGTGATTCTTTTTAAATTGTAATAGCAAACAAAAAAAAATGAAACTCCAATGAAGAAATTGAAAATTCGATGCAAGAGATACGAGATTAAACACCAATCTTGTATTAAAAATCTGAGATACACTAATGAAGCAAATGACATGGGATTTAAGAGAGATTTAAAGAGATGATAGGGATGTAAGAAAAGGGAAAACGATGCTATAGTGATGGTGATGATGAACATGGAGATAGTCGGCAACGACAGTTCCTTCTTCTTCTTCTTCTTCTTCTTCTTAGGGCAAACAATTTTGCAACAACGAACAGTAAATATGGTGACAACCACCTCTAGTGGTGCTTCTCTTCCTCCTCATTCTTCTTCTTCACTTCTCAACTCCAACCAACAACCTCCTTCTCAAAGTCTCAATATCCCCTCTCATAATAATGTACATATACAGTGGACTTTAACTTAATCATAATTTAGCGGTCAAAATAAAAAGTTGCATTATATTTTACATCTTACTGGTTTAACCCACTAAAATTAGACGGTTGAATCGCAGACCCGAAAACCAGAAGCCCAAGTAGTTTCGTTTCTGGGTCAATTTTTAAAACCATAATTTTAATCAAAACAAACTTTCATAATCTTATTCATATTTTTAATAATAGTATAAATATGGAATTATAAATATGTTCAATTTTTTCTATTATTTTTTTTTGTATTTTTGTGTGTAACATAATTTTGATATGTCACACTTACTTTTTGTTTAATATAATAAATATATGATATTGTACATGTGTTTGAATGCTTTTTTTTGCAAAATTTATGTATTTTTTTATTTTTTATTTTTATATTTTATTAATTTTATTATTTATTTATGACATTAAAGGTTAACACATTTAACTCAAAAATTAAACTATTTATTATTAACTTTTATATTTCATTTTTGGTTAGTTCTAAATTATGTATTTCATTTTCATTGTCAATAAAAATAATTCTTGTTTATTATACTTTTTTTTTAATTTGGTTAATAAAAATGTCATAAATGTGTCTAATTTTTTTTTTACATTTTTTTTGTAATTTACTATATTAATTTCTATTTCAAAAACTTTTACATAACTATGATTTCATAGGTTGATTAATTTGATTTGTATGGTTAAATTATTTAGCCACCACTTGGATAAAGAGTG